GGTGGGGAGCCAGGCAGCTCAGCAGAGCATTGAGCGGCTCTGGGAGGCTTCTCTGTAGTCTGTGTTGACACTTCTTGTCCATTTTCCTGATTTTTTCTGGGACTGAATGAATTTTACTTGGTCACACTGTTGCTCTTTTTGAATACCAAGTGGGCATAACCGCTCACCAGACTAGGGTTAGCCCTGAAAGCAATCTAGACCGTTATCATTATTAGAATTGTTACTGCAGAATTACTATGAAATGGCCAAAGCTGGGCTTTTGGAGTTCAGATTCTCACTGTGTTAATATGTCCTAGCTATATGACTGTGAGCAAATTATCAACTGAGGAGGCCTGGTGACCCTCGGCAGCCTTCTGTGTCTGCTTTCTAACCTGCAAAATGGGGACAATAGCAGTCCCTGCCTCCAGCACAGAGCCTTTCACAGGGTCGGTTGTCAGAAGGTGGTAACCCTTCCTCTAGAAGTCATTCATTCCCTAACATTTGCGTGCTAAGCCAGGAGTGGATTTTGGTAATTAGGGAAGACTTCAGTGAGGAGGAGCCGACCCGGGTGTTTGATTAGAGAGGCCAGAAGAAAGAGGAGATGAGTATTAAGCGTTTGGATAGACTGTCAAGTAGAAAACATGGTTGATTCAGTCTGCGAAGATCCCAAAAAGGAGAGACTTTCCAACGATCGCAGCTCTCTGCTCTGGCGCTGTTTTGCTTTCTGAGGCGCTAAGAGAGCTGTGTTTTGAGAATCCTTTGGTTACAGTTTCAGGGTAACAGAAAACCACATCGATTAGCTTGACTACAACATAATGAAATGAAAATTTGTTAGAAGGACACAGATATTTTGTGCCATTCAAGTGCAGCCCAGTTTCCCGAGTAGCTAACAGTAGGCCGGGGGAAGCCTCAGGAGCGTGGTCGGCGTCCGGGAGACACTTGCTGTCGTGGGGCTGCCTGCCTGAGTGTGCCGGCTTATGAGGGTGGCACCTCTGTTCTTCCTCCGGGCTGGCTTCTGTCCCCTGTGCTTGCACTTGTGCTGGCTGATGCATTTCCGCATTTTCAGTTCAAGAGACCATCCCAACGGAATCATATTTCTTGGTCTTCAGGCGAAAGATAGAGAAATGAAGACCTGATGGACCCTCTTGGGATAGGGTGTTTCAGTGAACCACTACCTAGTAGTGGGAGGTGGCGTGCAGGGCCTTACAGAAGAGCAGTGGCTGCTGAAAGTCACCCTTGAGGCTGCTGCTCTCACAGGGGAGGATGGACAGGTACCTTGGCCACGGCCACGACAAACTCCCAGGCTTTGGAGGGTTTTGCCCGGAGGCCTCCTGGCTGCACTGTAAATGGAGCTCAGGTTTTAGGTGACGAGTTAGGATAGATAGGTCCTTAGGCTGTCTTCAGGTATTCTGATGCTGTTAGGTGACACCCCAGTGAAATCTCTTTCCTTTTTAAATTCAGTATGCATAGCTGGCCAAGCGCGGTGGCTCACGCCTGTAATCCCAGCACTTTGGGAGGCCGCGGTGGGTGGATCATGAGGTCAGGAGATTGAGACCATCCTGGCCAACATAGTGAAATCCTGTCTCTACCAAAAAATACAAAAATTAGCTGGGCATGGTGATGCGCATCCGTAGTCCCAGCTACTTGGGAGGCTGAGGCAGGAGAATCGCTTGAACCCGGGAGGCAAAAGTTGCAGTGAGCCAAGATCATGTCACTGCACTGCAGCCAGGTGACAGAGTAAGACACTGTCTCAAAATCAATCAATCAATCAATAAATGCATAGTATACATTTTACCGTTTTAACCGTTTTTGAGTATAAAATTTAGTGTCATTAGGTATATTCACTGTCCATTTCCAGGACATTCTCATCATCCCAGACTGTTAACTCTGAACCCCATTAAATAATAACCTTAGATTCTCCCCCACCGTTAGCCCTGGTAACACTGTTGTAGTTTCTGCCTCTATGAATTTGACTATTCTAAGTACTTCGTATAAGTGGACTCATATATGTGCCCCCTTTTGTCTATTTTGACATCATGTTTTCAGGGTGTGTCCATGTTGTAGCATGTCACTGAATTTTAATCCTTTTTATGGCTGAATCACACTTCATTGTATATGTATACCACATTTCGTTTATCTATTCGTCATTCATTTTCTACCTTTTGACTATTTTGAATAATGCTATCAGCCCCCGCTCCCCCTTTTTTTTTTTGAGAATCAGGGTCTCACTCTGTCCCCCAGGCTGGAGTGCAGCGACTCAGTCATGGCTCACTGCAGCCCTGCATTCCTGGGCTCAAGTCATCTGCCCGCCTCAGCCTCCCAAAGTGCTGGGATTACAGGCATGAGCCAACTTTGCCTGGTCCATTTTTAAAGTATAGATGAGATTGCTTAGAATCAAGAAATTGGTTAATGAAAAAGACCTTAATGAAAGGTGACTTAATCCATCTTCTTCATTTCGTAGAAGGGAAAATGCCCAGCTGGGAAGAGTAACTGCAGGTGCCACATCCACCTACTGTGAGCTCTTTTACCATTTCTCTGCCCCCTTGCCTAAAATTATGAGGGCTTTGGCGGTTACACACGGCAGCCTCAGTACACGTCTTTAATCCTGAGGGATGTTGTAGACGTATGGAAGGAGATTTGGGTTGTGGAAACAGACGTTTTTGCTTGGGTTTTTTGTCTGACTCATTTTCACCATGCTTTGGTCAGTCGAGATGCATGACCTGCATGACTGATAACAGATGGGTGATGAATGAATGAGTGAAGAACTTGAAGAAATTGCCGACAGCAGCAGACCTCACACTTTTTGGTCTCAAAATATATTTTGAAGACTTTAAAGAACGTTAGTTATGATTACGTCTGTAGGTACTTACCATATTAGAATTAAAATTGGCAAATTGAAAGATGTTCATTAAAATATCCATAAACCCATTATGTTAACATAAATAACATATATTTATGAAAAGTAACTGCATTTAGGAGACTGTGGTCATTAGAAGAGTAGCATTGTTTTAGATTTCTGCAGGTGTCTTTACTATCTGGCTTAGAAGATAGCCGACGGTCGTATTTACCTCTTCACTCGGACTGTGTGAGACGCTGTGCTGGAAGACCATGGAGAGGTCTGACCTCCCACAGATGCGCCGTTGGCAAGTTTTCAGATGTCCATATTCTTCTTTGATACTACACCAAAACTTGACAAGTAGCGGTTTCCTAAGGGTCGGTTATTTGTGATGTGGCATCTGAAGCTGTGCCGTCCTCAGTTATGTTACAATATTTTAGTTTATTTTGCACTTTACGTGGATCTTTTTACCCATATAGGATTTCATAGCATCACGGTCCATTGAGCTGTGCAGATCTTCCAAATAAATGTCAGCGTATGGCATTAGGCAATGTAAGTCACATAGATCGCATTTGTTAATGTCACTGCTGATCTCATTAAAAAGCCTCAAGTATTAGAAGGCAGTAAGCTCTTACGGGTGGATACAAAGTTTCAAAAATTCTTCTTTTCACTTGGAAACTCCACTTTGATTCCTGCCGCAAATGCTGTTATTTGTTGACCTAAAATGATGAGCCCATGTGCCCATTCTTGAGAGCCTGTCTGCCGAGGACGCCAGCCCAAGTCATTGCAGTTTGCCTGTCATTCGCTGTCTCGACTAAAGATAGTGCTGTGTGTAGCAAGTGGCTTTGGGTGGCTGGCAACTCAGACACTCACAAGAGTGATTCTTCTCTAGACGGAGACGGCCGTCACACTTCATATGCAGAGGGCTTCTGTGTCCTTCCCTGTGCATTCAGTGGGATCTTAAAAAGGTGTGTCTTCAAAGGCTGACATTTCATAAAAGCCATGAGTTTTTACTTCTCATCAAAGACACTCCTAAGTGAAGGTGGCTTTTTTTTTGAGGGGGGAGAAGGAGTGTCACTCTGTCTCCCAGGCTGGAGTGCAGTGGCACGATCTTGGCTCACTGCAACCTTCGCGTCCCAGGTTCAAGCGATTCTTGTGCCTCAGCCTCCTGAGTATCTGGGATTACAGGGATGCGCTACCATGCTGGCTAATTTTTGTATTTTTAGTAGAGATGGCCATGTTGGCCAGGCTGGTCTCGAACTCCCGACCTCAGATGATCTGCCTGCCTCAGTCTCCCAAAGTGCTGAGATTATAGGCATGAGCCACCATGACCAACTCAAGTAACTTTTTTTTTTAAACTATGAGTATATGGTGAAGGATATCATGACCACTAGGATAGTTTGGTGTCACTGCCTTGATTCATGCTAAGATGCTAGCAGTTTTATTCCTGCATTTCCACCATTAATGCAGAAAAAGGTGACTGATGTCTTAGCATTATGAAAACAGTTTTGAGTCTGGGGCCTTGCGGCTCCCTGAAGAAGGAGTTCACATCCCCAGAGGCTAACGTCATCATTTACAGATTGCCGACATAAGGCAGCCCTCCAGTCCTGTGGACATCGGAGGAGAAGTCTGCCATCATCCTAGAAGGAAAAGACATGGTGGGAAGTCAGCACCTGAACTTTGATTTACACTGTCCTCAGCATCTGGGATCCTTGCACTAACTGCATAAACATGCTCACTGCTGTCCTGGAGGGGAGCCAACTTCTCAAAGGCAGAGGGCTCGGTGTTGACCTTCTGAAACCGTGCCCCAGTGGTTATTAGAAAACTCTTTGGCATTTTAAGCTCCCATCTCCTTCTTGACATGGAAATTGAATATTATGGAATTGACACCAAATGATGATGTCAGGCTTTTGGGTGGGACATCATCTGTTGGCAGCCTGGCTTTGGAGCTTCTCCCAGTTGAATTTTACTGCCTCAAAGCAGGAGCGAAGGAGTAGTGTATTTGTCAAGGAGAAGATGCGAGAATCTTCTAGTGGACTTTTTCCAGCACACTTGGTTTTCAGGTCAGAATACTATGTTCAGTGTTTCAGCTAAACAGGAAGTTCTTCGAGTAAGACTCAGCATTCCTGTGTTGACATCTGCAAGTCACTGGGCCTGATAGTACTTTCCTCTCTTTTGTTGTCAGCAATGGAAGAGTTAATAGTCGAACTTCGTCTCTTTCTTGAACTCCTGGACCATGAATATCTAACCTCGACTGTCAGGGAGAAAAAGGCAGTGATAACCAACATCCTGCTGAGGATACAGTCATCCAAAGGTGAGTCTCTTTCTGATGCCTGCTTTTCTTCCTACAGTGTCTTGGCTTCTAAACGGTCTTTAATCTTACCGTCTTTCTAAAATATCTTTATTTGTTCTTCTTACGTTATTTGTTCATCAGGGTTGCACTGAGGGCTTATACTTGGGCCAGTTCTGTGGTGGCCTGCAGGTACAGAGAGCTAAAGCTTTGAAGGAGCTAATGCAGTCCCCAAGGCAACCCCACCTTCGGAAATCACCTGAAGGACTCCCAGGACTCTGTCAGGTTGTTCTTCCTCCTGTGCAGGACGCCCTGCAGCCGAAGTGAGGATACAGCCCAGCAGATGGGAAGGGGGAAGGTTCAGGCGGAGCACGGGGGAAGCTGTGTGCTCTGTCTCTCCCATGAGGGCCACACAGCGATAGAAACGCGGCTGGCTCTGTGCGACGTCTCTGTTCAGGCTCGCCGGAGACTCAGTGCCCAAGGTTTTTACTTAGGTCTGGTCCTGTAGGCACCCTCTGCCTGGCACATACCAGAATTCCAGGAAAGGCAGGTTTTCAGCACACACCATGCTTACACAAACAGTACAGGCACAGTGAACCAACCGTGCCCATTAGGGAATGGTGGAAACACTTCTGAAATCCAGGTTCCCAGAGGCCAGCCAGGGGCCAGCCTTGAAAGCAGGCCCCTCTCGAGAGAGTAGCCTTGGGCCTGTTATTTTAACTCTTTCCTGCACAGTGAGTAAGACCAAAGAAACAGGAACTAGGAAACCCTGCTAAGAACTGCTGTGCAGAGCATCAGAGCCTTATGAGAGCACCTAAGAAGAGTCCACACCAGTTGAATGAGAGACCAGGGTGTTGGAGGGAGGGCCCGAGGGGCGATTCCTGGAGGATGTGATGTGAGAATCTTGAGGACTCTAGAGGTAGCTGGATGAGAGGAAGGGACCTTTCTTAAACATCTTTTTTGAGATACGATTCACAGGTCATATCTTCACCATTTAAAGTGTACAATTCATTTATACTTTGACATGCATTCTTTTGTATATGAAGCCATGTATGACATGATTAGATTTGCATTCTGGAAAGCTCACCTGGTCAGTCTGGAAGATGGCCTGAAGGATTTGGTAGCAGTTTAAAATGGGTGGCTTGGGAAAACCTGGGTGAGTGACAGGGCCTGTCACTTAGATAAGAAAGCAGGATGGAGACCCTATTTTGGGGCAGTATGAAATAGTAACTTCTTTGTTGTGAGACAGGGTCTCACTGTGTCACACAGGCTGGAGTGCGGTGGCGTGGTCACGGCTCACTGCAGGCCCAGGTGATCCTCCCACCTCAGCCTCCCTAGTAGCTGGGACTACACGTGTGCACACCACAACGCTCAGCTAGGTTTTTATGTTTGTAGAGACAGGGTTTTGCCATGCTGTCCAAGCTGGTCTCAAACTCCTGGGCTCAAGCAGTCTGCCTGCCGCGGCCTCCAAAAGGCATGAGCCACTGTGCCTGGCCTGAAATGTTCACTCTTGAAATAATTTTGTTACTTTCTCAGACTCTTTCATCTGTCAGCCTTTGCCTCTGCTCAGGGTCCAGACTCCTGTGGTCACTGTACAGGCCCTTATCATATCAGTGATGGGTATGAACTCCAGCCTTAAACTGGCTTGTTATTCTGGCCCTGCCTGTTACCAAGTGTGTGACCTTGCATGTGTTACTGACTCTTTTTGTTTTTGAGATGGAGTCTCACTCTGTCACCAGGCTAGATTGCAGTGTCATGATCTCAGCTCACTGCAACCTCCGCCTCCTGGGTTCAAGGGATTCTCCTGCCTCAGCCTCCTGAGTAGCTGGGGCTACAGGTGCATCCCATCATACTCAGCTAATTTCTAATTTTTGGTAGATATGGGGTTTCACCATGTTGGCCAGGCTGGTCTTGAACTCCTGACCTCAGGTGATCTGCCCACCTTGGCATCCCAAAGTGCTGGGATTACAGGCATGAGCCACGGCGCCCGGCCTACTTCCTCTTTTTACGCTTTAGCTTCCTCTCTGTATAAAAAGGGCTAATGGTATTACTGACCTCACGGGATGTTGAGAGGATTGAATGAGACGGTATAAAATGTTTCAAAACAGTGCCTGACGCGTGGGAAACACGTCAGCTGTTGGTGACTGCTCGCTTTCCCCTGATCTCCGGTCCTCTCCTCCTCTGCCCGGTGAGCTCCAGCACTGCTCTCTCTGTGCTTCCTTCTGGATGCTTCTCCTGACATTTTTCAATTTGTGAATTCTTTCTTCCGCTCTTTAATTTAAACCTGTCTGCTGGTTTTGTGTGTGTGTGCGTGTCATTTATCCTTCTTTCGTGCTTTCTTTGTTGGTTTGTAGTTCTCTCTCAGAGTTCTCGTCTCTGTTGCAGCTCAGGTCGGAAGTGGGTCTTTTCATGTTTCGGCTCCTGGCCTCTAGCGTAGTACTAGACCCATTATAGGTGATCATTCTTAAGTCAGTATTTTTACAGCCCTTTTCAAGTGAGTGTTTGGCACGTAAACAGCACTGTGTGCACATTAAAACTTGTCTCTTCCTCTTTCCTGCCTGACTGCTGAACACTATAGTGTTCATCCCCTTTTCTAGTAATTCGTTGTGTGTGTATTTGTCTTTTCAACTTGAATATGTGTATGTGTATGTCTTGCGTATGTATTTGTCTTTTCAACACGCCCGAGAGGTGTGAGCTGGTATCAGTCATGTCATCTATAAAGTATGTCTATTATAGTATCTGACTTTAAGAAGATACTTAATAAAAATTTATTGATTCCCAGGAAGGTGTCTGTCCTGTTACTACATGGATAAGTCCTGCCCTGAGTAGAAGTTGAGGGGGAGCAGCTTTCCCTTAGAGATGTAGCACGGCACTGAGGACCATGCAGGCTCTGGGGCCAGCGCCATCATTTCTAGCTCTTAGTGCTTTGATTGATTTCTTAGCCAGCCTTTCCCCCTCCCCCCCCTCCCCCCCCTCCCCTCCCCTCCCCTCCCCTCCCCTCCCCTCCCCCCTCTTTCTTTCTTTCTTCTTTCTTTCTATCTCTCCCTTCCTCCTTCTCTTCCTCTCTACCTCCTCTCTTTCTCCTTCCCTCTCCTCTCTTTTTCCTCCCCTCCTCTCCCCTCTCCTCTCCTCTTTTATTTAAGCTGTTGGTTTCACCTGTAAAATGGAGAAGAATAAGAATAATACCTAACCCCGCAGGACTGTTGTAAAGGATTAGAGAAACTAATTTGCAAAGGGTTCAACACAGCGTTCAGGAACTGATGGCTGCTAGTGACACCACTCTTATCCCCACCCCTCTCATCCAGTTCTGTGACTCTGGTTAACTCTTACAGGTTTTGATGTGAAGGACCATGCTCAGAAGCCGGAGACTGCCAACAGCTTGCCGGCCCCTCCTCAGATGCCCCTGCCGGAGATCCCGCAGCCCTGGCTGGTGAGTCAAGATCCCAGATGCAGCGGTCACTGATGGAGGCCCGGGGAGACTTCTGGGCTCCAGAGGCCTGTGGTGGAAGCCCAGGGAGGAAGAATGGAGCTCTTACTTTGCTTGGTGCACTGCTCCGAGTCTATCTCTAGGGCTGAGAAGCTGTTGGTGACAGCTGGTTGGTAGACTCAGCGTAGCCGCCCCTTGGGAAGCTGGCATTTCTTAGCAGACAACAGGAGCTTCAAGTCTGTAGGCATCTTTTCTTACATCAGATTCAGAGAAACAGAACTTCGGGGATTTGGCAGGTGAAAGTGTCTGTAGACCTTGCAGACGTGACCCTCTTCCGAGTTAATGCTGACGCTGAATACCTTATTCTGAAACTTCAGTAGTCACGTTTGATTTCTTCCGGGGCTGAGAAGTCAGCTATCTAGTTTTTTTCCAAGAGAGAAAAATATGTACGTGTTTCAGGAATGTGTACTTTAGTTTTATGCATTCAAATTCAAAATTCGTTTTTTGAAAAGACCTGGCGAGGCTCACATATGCAACTTTTTATGTACCATTCAGCCTTTTCTGTATTTTCCTGTTTTCTAACTTGTTTACTCAGGGAACTCAGAGTGTCATTCCAAGTGAGGGCAAGATCAGCAGCAATTCTCTTTCTGTGTTTGCTCTCAGTACCAATCCTCTGATGATCTCTCTGCCAGGATAGGAACTGTGGCAGGCAGGGCTGTTTGTCATTCACCTCCGCTCTGCCTGGGCCTGGGACAGTGCTCAAGAGTCTTGGACTGCAGCGGGCACAGAGGGAAACAAGCACTTACCGGGTTCCTGCCACACGCCACCAGAAGTCACAACTCACTGACTCCCACAGCTCGGCCTCAAAGAGCCCCTGACACTCTTCTTATCTGGAGAGGCGTGTGTGCACCCATTTTTCCGAGAAGAAAGCTGAGACTCAGTGAAGGTGTGTGGTTGGTTCAACATCATATAGTAAGTAGAGAGGGCAGAGATTGCAACATTTAGTTCAAATTGATGCTTTTCTCAACAATACTAGTTCAGAGGTGTGGCAGCAAATCAGACACAAATGTGCCTCAGATCCCGGGCGGCCGCAGGCTGCAGGGGCAGTCCAGGAGCGAGGCCGCCTGCTTCCTGCCCCGGTGCCGCCCCAGACTCCTCGTATGATTTGGGGAGATCAATGGAACCTCTGTGCCTCAGGACTATCCAGGAGATGGGAAGAGTGAACATATCTCAAGTGCTTGGGATATATTTAAGTACTGTGCTCTAATCACTCCTTAGAGCAGCTCTTCTCAAACTTTAACCTTCAGCTAACCACCTGGGCACTTCAGTGTGCAGGCTCAGGTTCACTAGGTGTGCATGAGGCCAGTGATGCTGCCCTTCTCCCCCACCTCCCCCCTCTTCCCTTCCCTTCTTTCCCTCCCACCTTCCCTTCCCTTCTTTCCCTCCCACCTTCCCTTCCCTTCCTCCCCTCCCACTCTTCCTCCCCTCCCACCCTTCCTTCCCTTCCTCCCCTCCCACCCTTCCTTCCCTTCCTCCCCTCCCACCCTTCCTTCCCTTCCTCCCCTCCCACCCTTCCTTCCCTTCCTCCCCTCCCACCCTTCCTTCCCTTCCTCCCCTCCCACCCTTCCTTCCCTTCCTCCCCTCCCACCCTTCCTTCCCTTCCTCCCCTCCCTCCCTTCCTTCCCTCCTCTCCCTCTCTCTGTCCCTCCCCTCCCCTGTCTTTCCTCTTTCCTCTTCTTTCTGCTTGCTTCTTCTTTCCTCTGTCCCTCCTCCCGCTTTCCTCTTCTTCCCTCTTCCCTCTTTCCTTCCTGTTTTCTTGACAGGGCCTTGCTCTGTCACCCAGGCTGGAGTGCAGTGGCTCATTCATAGCTTACTGCAATCTCAACAGCTTGGACCCAAGCAGTCCTCTCTCCTCAGCCTCCCAAGTAGCTGGGATTGCAGGTGTGACCCACCCCGCCTGGCTCATTTGCTGTTTTTAGATATAATGTGATACCGAAGTCCAGAGGTATATAATTGTTAATTTAAAAGATGAACAGCTAGATGGGAAATCAGTAGTTCCTCCCTTTTCTGCCTTCATCTTCTGGTTTATTTTCATTTTTCTTAGTAAGGTTGTCTGGAATCTCGGGCTTTCCTGTTTCATCTTCACATTCCATATCGGGAAAGCTGTTCTGAGACTGAGGGGAACTGAGAACAATTAGAAGCAGCTGAGGCGGGGCGCAGGGGCTGTCTGTCATCCCAGCCCTTTGAGAGGCCAAGGTGGGTGGATCGCCTGAGCGCAGGAGTTCAAGACTAGCCTGGGCAACATAGCAAAACCACGTCTCTTCAAGAAATAAAAAAATTAGGTGGTTATGCTGGTGTGCAGCTGTAGTACCAGCTACTCGGGAGGCTGAGGTGGGAGGATCACTTGATCCCGGGTGGTAGAGGTTGCCATAAGCCAAGATTGCACCACTGCGCTCTAGCCTGGGTGAAAGAGTGAACGTCTGTCTCAAAAAACCAAAAACTGGCTGGGTGTGGTGGCTCATGTTTGTAATCCCAGTACTTTGGGAGGCCAACGTGGGTGGATCACTTCAGGTCAGGGGTTCAAGACCAACCTGGCCAACATGGTGAAACCCTGTGTCTACTAAAACCACAGAATTAGCTGGGTGTGGTGTTGGGCATTTGTAATCCCAGCTACTCAGGGGGCTGAAGCAGGAGAATTGCTTGAACCCAGGAAGCAGAGGTTGCAGTGAGTCAAGATCGAACCATTGCCCTCCAGCCTAAGCCACAGAGTAAGACTCCATCTCAAAAAAAACCCAAACTAAAACAAAGCAGCAGCTGGAAGAGTAGCAGTGGTCCTGTGACAGTCATGGACTCTTCTCTAGTGCTGCTGAAGTGCCCTCGCACCTGCTCTGGACCAAACTGTATGTCCCTGACGTGCCAGCTGGGTGGAGTGGAGGGATGCCAGTTTCAGACGAAGAGTTCTCTGACTGGTCAGTGTTTTCTACCATTTTCAACCGTCCAATGATCAGTCCATCTCTGTGTTGTCCTCAGATATAGTTCATCACTTATGCATTGATCCGACCTCTTTCTCCCCCTCTCGTCCTCTCTCCTCGGCTCCTGCTCTCTCACCCCTGGCCTAGGCTCTGCTCCTGCCTGTGGTAGCAAAATGACAAGCTAGACTGGGTTACGGTACATGAGGCTCTTCTACTCGTATAGTCCAAACTGGCCAATCAAAAATGCTGGTTAAAGTGAGAAAATTTTAAAAAGGTACACATGAATGTGTGCTTTAAATACGCCGAGTTGACATGAACGATTTAAGCGTTGGAGCGACAGGTGTGAGCTGCCACACCTAAATGAACGCTTTCTGAGTAGCCGTTTGCCAGCGGGTGATTTCTGCCTCCTGGTGCTTAGTGCACGAGCAGCAAGGTGGTTTTCCCTGGGCGTCTAAGCCATGCTTACTTCCTAGAAAACCGCTGTGTGTAGCCGTAGGCCAAGGGCCACATGCTTTGGTGTCGTGCTACGTATGGGCTTTGGCTCGTCTTTTCTGTGTACTCTATAAGTGTGTCCCACTGTTAGCAATTTCCAGTGTTTGTAACAATCTGAGCTTAGAATCCCTAGAATTTGACACATGTTGCCCTGTCTTTTTTTTTTTTTTAAATAGTTGATGTGCCCACGTCTAATGGAATAGCCTTTTTATGGTTTTTGTTTAAGAGACAGGGTGTCACTTTGTCGCCCAGGCTGAAGTGTGGCGGTGTAGTCAGAGCTCACTGCAACCTTGAATTCCTGTGTTCAAGCAGTCCTCCCGCCTAGGCCTCCCAAAGTGCTGGAATTATAGGCATGAGCCTTTGTGCCCTGCCCAGTTTGTTTTGACTGAACCTTTCTAAAGCGGCTCAGAGAATCATCAGCTCGCCTTTTGCACTCCTTTTTTCATGGGTTTGTTACGTAATCATCAAATTCAAGTAAATAATTATAGTAATAAGAATTTCAAGAACAAAGCTGACTCTTGGTAAATACACAGGTGGGGCAGTTTTTGTAGACACCCCAGAGAGGAGCCTGCAGCCATGAATGTTTAGAATCTTAGGGATATCAGGGTATTTTACAGAAGAATAGAGCAGCTGTCAAGTCAGTGAGTCAGGGAGGTGGAGCCTGGTTAACTTAGCTGCTGACTGTAGTTTTCTGACTGTGCTTTAGGGAATCTGGGATTCAGCCAGTCAGCTAGTCACCAAGTACATTCAGTTTGCCTTTAGCAAATCGACTTTTGGCCAGTTGATCATTTTGCTATTGGTGAACTGATTCAAGAGAGTTTGTGTATAATGGGGTCAGGATGGAACGGGTAGGCAGCTGTGCCAGGCCGAGGGTGTGTTGTGAATTAAAGCACAAGTCAGAGAAACAGCCAGGCATACTAGGAGCATTGCAGGTAGCTCGGCCTTGCTGGATAATGGGATTTGGGCAGGAAATCCACACATGAGGCCGGAAGTCTCTGCAGGGGCTGAATTACAAAGGACCTGTGTGTTGTGATGAGAAGTTGGGAATTTTGTGGAGGCAGCAGGAAGCCATCGGAGGACTGTTAGTGTACGACTCACTTCGGCTAGGCCCTGCTTCCCCTGCAGTGAACCACAGCTGCACTCCATTCTGACCTCTTTCGTGGCATGAATTGAATATTGCCTTTTGTCATAGTGTTTTGTATCATAAACTCTTTAACAAATAGGTTATCTTTTACCTTGTTACCCTTTTTAGTGTATAATAGTGCTTCATGCCTGTATTCAAGAGTTAATAAAGCCTGGGATGCCCTGTGTGACTTGGTGCTTCCTTCCACCTGGCTAATGTGTCCTTGGAAGTGCCCGCAAGAGATTAGATGTGTGTGTAATATGGAAATCTAGAACTTCTGAATCTTGAAAGTCACAAGTGTGGGCTGTAGCATGTTTTATACTCTTCTTTCTCTCGCTGGCTTTTCAAGGGGAGACTCAGATAGGCTAAAATATGCATCTCTTCAAAAAACGGTTTGTGGGAGAGCTGTGCTGTGC